GAAGCTTGTATTACTGAACTCCCAAAAATAAATATTAATTCTGATCAGTTTTCTGCTTTGGATTCATTTGCTTATAACCTTGGTTGTCCTTACTATAAGAATACTTCACTGCTCAAAAAGCTTAATTCTGGTAATATTAAAGGTGCTGCTAATGAATTTAGGCTATATAACAAAAGTAATGGTAAAGTTATGAATGGGTTAGTAAAGCGTCGTGAGGCTGAAAGAGCTTTATTTTGTAAAAGTGGTGGCTGTTAAAACTTTTTAACAGATTTACTTATTAAATTTTTAAATTTTAAAAAAGTACTTACTTTACACTATTTGAAATAATACAACTCAATAAGTTCAGCTTTTTAAAATTAGAGTAGAAAAATTTTTTTTTGTAAACACCTATTCAGAATATTAATCAATATTTCTATATTTATAGAACAAATTCAATTAGTCATATACAAATTATTTTTACTATCTTTCAAATATTAAATAAAGGCATCTCCAGTTTCTTAGATAGTAAATAAAAAATCTTCTGCTTAAACAAATTAACATTTTTATTTGTATTACATAACTTTCAAATTTCAGGTTGCATATTTTTACTATGAAAAATTCATAATTTAGGTTCAAACAATACTTTATATATATGATGATTGCTTATAATGTGAACGAAATTTGCTACGAAACTAAACTAAAAAATTGGATTACATATTCTAGTCTATATATTATGTATCATTTCTCAATTTATATCAATTACTAATTTATATGGGCACACCCCGTATGAGTTGTACCTGAAAGTATTCTGCGGATAAAATTCGATTTATATCCGAATACTATCCATATTATATCTCAAAGAATAGCATCTGGTATAAAATATGTTATTTTTGGAGCATTAGAAGACAAAGGATTTTTCGCTATATTATTCCACAAATGTTTTGAAAGAATGAAAATGAACTTTTCGAAGATTAATTCAAAAATCACATTAGTGATCCTAAGAGCGTGCACTTAGGAGGTCTGGCTATATAAAAAAATCTATGTCGGTCTTAGGCTGGAAATGGCTGATGCCAGAAATGGTTGATGCTGGAAGTTAAGGACTTTGATTTAAAATATAAATCCTACCAAAGTCTACTCATAATCTTTTATTATCAAACTACCCTAAATCCTGACCTAACTGTAAAAAAAGGCTGAAAAAATGCACCCCAAAATTTTTAAAAATTTCATATAAAACATTTAAAATTTCTGGGATCTCTAATTTTTTCCACCACTTTTGATTGGTTGTGTGTGAATGACATATCTGATTGGGCAAAGTAGACTACGCCATTCTTCGTTTGCAAATCAAATCACAAGATCTGGTATAACATAAAATTGCAAGAAGTTTTTTAAAAAATTCTTAATAACTCAAAATTTTATTTATGAAACTGCTTTTCATGTTCTAACAAGAAAGTTTCATAGCATGACAAAATATGTTTCATCCAATCAAAAGCAGGATTTCTTTGGATTTCTATGCATCTAATAGAAACTTGTGGGAAAAATTAGTAAACTCAAAATTTCCAACTCACTATTTCGGTGATTACTTAAAATTGAGTTGGGTTGAATTAGAATTTATCGTGAATTACAGTAAAAAAATTCTGTACAAACTTTTTCTTTATTCTAGTAACAAATATTAATTTTTAAAAATGAGTGCACAATGTGAACCCTTTAATTCTAGATGTTTTCAAATTTCATTTCAGAACAAACTAATAAGCCCATTTCTAAAATGAAATTTCAGAAATCAACTTTTCAGGTTTTTGCTTGGAGGTACTCCAATCTAAATAGATGACAGCTGGGTTTGATGCAGTAGACCATAAAAATAATCCTGTATCCTTGAATGCCTCTTTCACTTATTGATTATTAATTCATTAATCGATTACAAATAGGTTGAAGATTACAGTGCTTAAATGAAGAAACAGCTCATTTGTAAGTTTTAAAAATTAACTGAAAAGATTTATACAGGTAATTAATATTTTAAAATTATAAAATAATAATGTCAAAAGATATTACAGTAATGGATTTCATTTTAGTTACTAATCTGAAAAAAATGGGTTTCTACTCAAATACATATTTCTCAACAAAAAATTGATTTTAATAAAGAACCTCGTAAAGATATTGAGAAAAAAAGATATTTAATTCATTAATTAATCTAAGACTTTAAAATTCAATACAATCAATAAAAAAAACTTGACATCCAGATATTTAAGCAAATTATTCATTATTTTTGCTTTATTAAGTTTATTATGTGTCTAATTCGACTGTAAGTAATACCCTAATATATTATGATATTTTTAAAGTATTTTTTATTTACTTTGTCCTATTTCCTATTAATGGGTTTCTTAATGTTACAGAATCATCTCATAATAACACAACTAGCTTTCAAGAATCTTCAATAGCCGATTTACTAGAATTATTTTTAACCCTAGCACGGGCAAAAGAGACCCTTAAGGAAATGAATACTCTGCTTTTGTTAGAAATAGTTGTTTTTACCACAAACAGTAATATTTTTCTTACACCAGATTGTTTGTCTATAAGCACTGATGATGACGATTTAATTTTGGATATTCGAATTTAAAGAAATTTTTCAATTAAACATAGCAATTATTCATATCATTAACATAGATAATCCTGCAATTAGCAACTAGGATATAATAAATTGCAAACTGTCAACACTGATATTATAAAAATCATTGTCAACCTGAACAATGGATTAAGATTGAAATCGCCAACAGCCCAGATTATGATAGAAAGTACTAATAGCTTTGCAATTTATGCAACCAATTTTGTAAATAATCTTATTCACTTGTAACATGTGTATACTCATTCAATTTTTTGTGAATACCATCTAATTGGTACTAACAATATGCCAGTATTAAAAATTAGTGGAGCAAGTAGTTAAAGATTACATTTAAAGATCCAAAAGTATATGCATATATGTTTTAATTTTTAATAGTTTAACCCTATATTTTTCATTTGAATGGACAGAAATTGTTATAATAATTTCTACCAAAATTATATAAATAATTTTGGCAAATTCATATATTTCTAATCAAAATTATAGTTTAGAGTTTTATTTGATAATTTATATAATTGTATTAAAAATTGCATTAAAAGATACATAAATTAGATCAAAGATGAATTAATTCTTTCCTTATTTGAGCATTTTTTTTATGAAAAATTAATAAAAAAAAATATTCTAATTTGAGTTCAATATATTCACAAATTAATAAACGGACAGGCTCTATTATGGAGCCCATGTGTTTTTATCATAATTAATCACCAATTGTGGTCACAATTAACCTCAAAATTTCCAAAATCGTAAGCTTTTTTTTTTCCGCACCAAAGTCAGTATGGGTATCTCTAACCATGAGTCTGTAATTCCAGAACTTTGAACTTTCTGTCATGCATGTGACAAAAGTTCAAAGTTACCTTTTTAATTTTTTAATAATGAATGAATCAAAAACGTAACTTTTGTATGATGCATAGACTTGCAAATATCGATAGAAACTGAATAATGTCATTGGCCATGTGTGATCTGTAAACTAATAGTTAATATAAATTGTATTCTAGTTTTTGCAACCTATATAAATACCACTTAAAACTTAAAGTAGCTACTCTGTAGAATCAATAAACTTATTTCTTTATACCATAGGAGAATGAAATGAGTTTGAAATTATTGATGAGACTTTTCTTGTACTAAAATAAGAGTATTATTGATTATAGAATAATGTCAAATTCAGGCTTAAAGCGTCAAAATTAGCTTATCATAGTGTTTATATTTTCTAAGCTAACTTTAAGATAACTGCCTATATTAAGCTTAATTTAGGCCAAATTAATCGTAATATAGGCCAAAATATTAAACTACACTCCGAGCATTATTTCGTGATGATATTGATCATTATAATTCCACTAATACCTTAATAAAATTTCGTATTTAATTTTGATTTGACGCAAATTTTAATCAATGCATGACATATATAACTGTATCATTTTATTATCGAGAAAAAAAATATACAACCAGCTTATAGAAAGACACTATTTGTCTATTATTTGCAAGTTACAGAATTGAATTTGCTTTGCTAAAACAGAAT